TCATAGCATTCTTTCGTTAATCAATAATTTAGTCTTTATTGTCATATAAGTAAACATAATACATACTTGTAAAATATACAAATAATAAACGAAGGTGATGTTGGGTAAATGTTAGTTAGACCATAGAAGTTTCATGACGTTACCATGGTTACCGCCCCCTTCCTCCCAAACTATTGTTATGGTTTATAGGACTATAATGCAAAACTTTGCTTATCAACAACGATGAAAGTAAGAAAAGGAAAAAAGGAACACATAACCGCAGGTTAAAGGAACCAATCGTGTGTCCCATTCGTACTTTTTTCGTATAGTGATCGTTTTTTTATAAACAGACGAAGTCTCTTGCAACTAAAATAAATGTGGGTGATATATTTAAGCATAAGTATGTTAAATAAGTTTTTTTGACAGTTTGTAAATGTGTTATTAGTATTTAAATTCGAATATAAAACCCGCTCCTACATTGAATTGATTAAAAAAAAGGGGGAGGGGTAATAATAAATGAATTTTTACTATATAACACCAAAGTGCGACTAACTTGTTTCTTTTCAATGCTATCTTCTTGTCGGAAAGAATTTTGCGTTAAGAATAAACTTTCACCTTTGTCTTTATCCATTTTGAGAAACCATATGGATGTGAAGGTATTCAAGGAAAATACTTATAGTTTTAGTGCAAGCAACAGAGCACTATGTACATGCACTGCGTCTGCATGTAGCTATACATGTAGTTTACCTTCAACTGGACTTTTTATTTTCATTCCTTTATTTTTTAGGTTGAGCTACTGTTTAAAGGGACCTCCATGTGGGATACTATTAATAAAGTTTATCAAAAACAATATCCACACCTGGTGAAAATAAATCTTAACAAACACTTGTATTTGTTTAGTAGAAAAACAAAGGATATTGGGTATTCATCCATGACACAAAATCAGTACATGCACAGCAAAACAAAAACAACATAAAAGCAAAGGAACAGTGCTTTTTTTGCTGTTCTTCATCTCAAAGTATAATAATAATAATAATAATCTCAAAGTATAATAATAATAATAATAATAATAATAATAATAATAACAAGAAATGATTGTAACAGGATGCTGTTACGAAGTCTCCCAAACGAAACTCCCATAATTCGTAATTCCCAGGGTCGCCTGACATTGGGCAACGTCCAGTGAAAATTGGTTTGGTCCAGTAAAGTTATATGCATTAGTGATGCCTGGGGACTAACCTTGTATATCATTCAAATCATCTTGGCATTACAAACCAGAATATATATGGTTTAGGGGTGGGGATCTCGACCATTTACAAGATATTAGAACTTTCTCAAATGGCATGGGGTCGGGATGACCCCTGGGGACTAACCCTGTATATCATTCAAACCATCTTAGCATGACAAACCAAAATATATATGGTTTAGGGGTGGGGATCTTGACCACTTACAAGATATTAGAACTTTCTTAAATGGCAGGGGGTGGGGGTGACCCCTGGGGACTAACCCTGTATTTCATTTGATGTGCTTTATCATGACAAACCAGAATATATATGGTTTAGAGTTGGGGATCTCGACCATTTACAAGATATTAGAACTTTCTCAAATGGCAGGGGGTTGGGATGACCCCTGGGGACTAACCCTGTATATCATTCAAACCATCTTAGAATGACAAACCAGAATATATATGGTTTAGGGGTGGGGATCTTGACCACTTAGAAGATATTAAAACTTCTTAAATGGCAGGGGTTGGGGGTGACCCCTGGGGACTAACCCTGTATAACATTTGATGTGCTTTATCATGACAAACCAGAATATATATGGTTGGCAGGGGGTCGGGATGACCCCTGGGGACTAACCCTGTATATCATTCAAACCATCTTAGCATAACAAACCAGAATATATATGGTTTAGGGGTGGGGATCTTGACCACTTACAAGGTATTAGAACTTTCTTAAATGGCAGGGGGTGGGGGTGACCCCTGGGGACTAACCCTGTATAACATTTGATGTGCTTTATCATGACAAACCAGAATATATATGGTTTAGGGGTGGGGATCTCGACCATTTACAAGATATTAGAACTTTCTCAAATGGCAGGGGGTCGGGATGACCCCTGGGGAATAACCCTGTATATCATTCAAACCATCTTAGAATGACAAACCAGAATATATATGGTTTAGGGGTGGGGATCTTGACCACTTAGAAGATATTAGAACTTTCTTAAATGGCAGGGGGTGGGGGTGACCCCTGGGGACTAACCCTGTATAACATTTGATGTGCTTTATCATGACAAACCAGAATATATATGGTTTAGGGGTGGGGGTCTCGACCATTTACAAGATATTAGAACTTTCTCAAATGGCAGGGGGTCGGGATGACCCCTGGGGACTAACCCTGTATATCATTCAAACCATATTAGCATGACAAACCAGAATATATATGGTTTAGGGTTGGGATCTTGACCATTTACAAGATATTAGAACTTTCTCAAATGGCAGGGGGTCGGGATGACCCCTGGGGACTAACCCTGTATATCATTCAAACCATCTTAGAATGACAAACCAGAATATATATGGTTTAGGGGTGGGGATCTTGACCACTTAGAAGATATTAGAACTTTCTTAAATGGCAGGGGGTGGGGGTGACCCCTGGGGACTAACCCTGTATAACATTTGATGTGCTTTATCATGACAAACCAGAATATATATGGTTTAGAAGTGGGGGTCTCGACCATTTACAAGATATTAGAACTTTCTCAAATGGCAGGGGGTCGGGATGACCCCTGGGGACTAACCCTGTATATCATTCAAACCATATTAGCATGACAAACCAGAATATATATGGTTTAGGGTTGGGGATCTTGACCACTTACAAGGTATTAGAACTTTCTTAAATGGCAGGGGGTGGGGTGACTCCTGGGGACTAACCCTGTATTTCATTTAATGGGCTTTATCATTTAGAACATTTTCAATTAAAAAGATTGTGTCTATCACAAACGGTTTTCAATTTATAATCATTTGAAAATTTTTAAAAATAAAATCCCATAGGGTTCTTTAGTAAAACCCTCTTTTCTTTTTGCCCCTTTAAGTACCCCTTTATAAACCCCATTGCACAAACAAAACCCTGATTGCACCACTAGACATGTTAGTCTAACATATTGTGAAACCCTAAGTTAATCTGACAAGCGGTTTTGGAGAACGGGTGCGGACAAGTTCAAATTTAAAAGCGGCGGAAGAAGAAGAAGAAGAAGAAGAACAATAATAATAATAATAATAATAATAACTGAGCAAAAACAATAAGTCTTCCCAAACTTCGTTTGGGAGACTTAATAATAGTAATAATTAAAGAGGGTTGCACAGTTAGCTATAACACTAATCTTCCCTGAGGCGCTCATGAAATGCAATGAAATATAACAAACAATTACAAAATAATCAAACAAACACACATAAGAAAAATCAAATAAGAAATTGTTATGAAATATACAATTTTTAAAACAGGTAAAAATTACAAATTCATATAGTATTGGCATCATTCAAAATTACCACAACAATTTTTAAAGCTTGAGTAAGTGTGTGAAAATTAGTATGCATATAAAATTACACGACTTCTTAATCATGTTAATATTTTAACAAGTAATTCTTTAAATCTTTTTTGAATGAGCTTGTACTTGAGGTTGATTTTTTTCAGGGATATTGGTAAGTTATTCCATAAAATAGATCCTGAGTAAGATTTATCATACAGATCTGTTTTGGCTTTTGGAACTTGCAATTTTTTGCAAGACGCATTCCTCAAACAATATTGGTTTATTTCTGGCATTTCTTTAAATTTTTCAATTAAATATACAGGGGCTTCATTCTTAAGGCATTTCTGCATCAAAACCGATTTATGGTATGATATTCTGTTCTCTACTGTCATCCAACCAAGCTGTTTAAACAGAGGTACTGATGATAAAAGTGGATCAGCATCTAAAATTAGTCCTGCAGCCCTTTTCTGCAATTTTATTATTCTGACTGGCTCATTTTTAGCACACAAAAAAAAAAACCACTCCAAATAATACAACAATAATCTATCAGTGGGAGAATATAACCATTATAAAATAATTTTCTTGAATCAATATTTAGAAATTTCTTGATCTTAGAGAGTTAATGAAGTCTAGATGATATTGATGAACATAAGTAAATAACATGGTCTGTCCATGACAGATTAGAGTCAATTCTAACACCTAAACATTTTTCAATTCATGATTTTTGAAGAAAATTATTCTCAATAGTTAGAACTGGTTCTGCTTGATATAAACACAGCCTTTGTCTTGTATCTATAACCATACATTTCGTTTTATCCGAATTTATGAACATGTTATTTTCATGACACCATTTTTCAACACATTGGAGATCATCTTGTACTTTTTATTGCATATCAGCAATACTCTTTCCTGATGTATGCATAATTGTGTCATCAGCATACAAGTCTGTGTGGCAGTTTTTGATGTGTAATGGAAGGTCATTTATGTACAAAACAAACAAAATGGGACCAAGTATTGAGCCCTGTGGAACACCGAAATTTATAAACTTTTTATAAGAATATTAATTACTTATATTGACTTGCTGTGTTCTTTCTTTCACCAGATTTGAAAATTGGAGCTACCTTGGCATTTTTTAAAACACATGGATAAATACCAGTATCAATCATTTGATTAAAGATATACATTAAAGAAGATGCTATGAAAGGAGTACTCAGTTTTAAAATCTTTTGACCTATATTGTCAGAACCAGAAGATGTCTTAGCATCTAGTTTGATTATTTCATCAAATAGTTATGAAACTTTTGAAGTTGATGAATTTATTGTACTTTTTTTTGCAAAAATTGCATTTGTACATAGTTTGTCAGAGTATTAACATTTGAGTTGCTTGGTGCCCTGCTATGCCTTAATTTTTCATCACATACAGATATATATATATATATTTAGTAGTATGGCCTTCAACTCTGTAGTGTTTTTTTTTTTTTTTTGGGGGGGGGGGGGGGGGGGGGGGGGAGGAGGAGGAGGAGGAGGGCATTTGCTTTTATCATCTTCTTTGACAAGTTAAACAATTTTTTGAGTAAGTTATGAGCCTCCATCAGTTCGTTCTGTAAAACATTGAACAGTTTTGTGACCACAGGCCTCAGACCTGTCAAATATTTTACAGATTTGACTATTCGTGGTGCGAAGCAACAATGAGAAATTGCATCGGTGTATGTTCTGTCAACACACTATATAGGTATTTAGAAATGAGACAGGCGAATATTTATGCCTTCAGAAGAGGTACTTCAATTTATATGTAAAATTGATAAAATTTATCCCAGATCCCTCCAATAAAAGAAAATGACCAGTGTCTAAGTTGTTTCATTATTGCCCGGGGCATTTTTGTTATCTACAATTTTGCTAGATATATTTCATTCTTTTGCCTTTTCTACAGTTCTATGTACCAAATTTCTTATTTTGCAGTAGTCCAAAAATATTTTTTGATTTTATTTTTTGTATACTGGTTATAGTAAGAAAGAGTCTCGTTTCTTAAATAATCTAAAATTTATGATTTCATCCACGGTTTTAAATTGTGTTTTATTTTCATTGCATTATACGGGCTTTAAAAATATAGTTAAATTGAATAATTTTTCTAAAAGTTTCAAATACTTGGTTCTGCATTTCTGCATATGATCAGACGTGTTCGCCTCTTTTTTTGAATAGTGTTTCAATGATTTTACCTGTTTGTTCTTTCTTTGTTTCCTCGTACTATATTTTATAGAATGGTAACTGATTCTAACTTCAATGACACCTACTTGACTAGTTTATCACAAATATTAGAATGACCACTGATTCTAACTTCAATGACACCTACTTGGCTAGTTTTATCACGAATATTAGAATGACCACTGATTCTAACTTCAATGACACCTACTTGACTAGTTTTATCACGAATATTAGAATGACCACGGATTCTAACTTCAATGACACCTACTTGACTAGTTTTATCACGAATATTAGAATGACCACTGATTCCAACTTCAATGACACCTACTTGGCTAGTTTTATCACGAATATTAGAATGACCACTAATTCTAACTTCAATGACACCTAGTTTTATCACGAATATTAGAATGACCACTGATTCTAACTTCAATGACACCTACTTGGCTAGTTTTATCACGAATATTAAAATGACCACTGATTCAAACTTCGATGACACCTACTTGGCTAGTTTTATCACGAATATTAGAATGACCACTGATTCCAACTTCGATGACACCTACATGACTAGTTTTATCACACATATTAGAATGACCACTGATTCTAACTTCAATGACACCTACTTGGCTAGTTTTATCAAGAATTTTAGAATGACCACTGATTCTAACTTCAATGACACCTACTTGGCTAGTTTTATCACGAATTTTAGAATGACCACTGATTCCAACTTCAATGACACCTACTTGGCTAGTTTTATCACGAATATTACGTAACTTATAGTTTATTGTTGAAGTAGAAGACCATGTTATTCGCGTTGGTTCGTTTATAACCGTTTTAGAGAAACATGTTGAATGATTGATTGATTTGTGTTAAACGCCACTTTCAGAACCATTCTATTTCATGGCGGTCTGTTTTTATTGGTGGAGGAAGCCGGAGTGGCCAGAGAAATTCACTGACCTTCGGTAGGAAAACTGACAATCCTAGTCAATTAAGATTGGAGTAGAGTGCACCTGCCATGAGCAGGATTCGAACTCGCAACCTCAGTGTTGACAGGCTAGGGATACAGTAGTTCGACTAAATAAAAATCATGTTCAAGCAGAAAGTCGAAAGATCCTAAAGGGATATCATAAGTCTAAAATAGACTGACTACTGGTAAAAAACGAAAAAGACAGACGACAAAGACAGACAACGAAGACGACAAAGACAGAGGACAAAGACAGAGGACAAAGACAGACGACAAACAACAGTATACAGAACACAACACAGGAAAAATAAAAACTGAGCAACACAAACCCCACCAACAAACGGGGTTTACATGATATCCTATCAGAATAAAATTGTTCAAAGGACACAAATGTTCACATAGATCGGATTTAAATTTACGTGCTTTATAAACAATATAACCGTAAAAATTAGGATGTGATTTCCAGATTTTTTTAAAACTTGTCAATACCCATCTGCAGGGATTCCCCTGGGTCAATTTTCTTTTTCGCCACCTCTTTCGCCCCAAAAGTATATTTTTCGCCACCTCTTTCGCCCCAAAAATATTTTTCGCCACTTTCAATTTTTTCTCGCCAACTAACAACTAACATAAACATATGTTTCTTTAACATTTTCCCTCTTTCTAACAAAAAAAAAAACTGTTTGTCCCATTATTGTCTATGATAATTCTACAAATCTTTTATTTTAATCTACGTTGTAATGAATAGACACTAAACATTTACTTTTCAAAAGATACTGTAAAATTTTTCTTTTCCGGACCATCGGAAAAAGAATAAACAGCTGCGCCATGAGCGCATGATACGCCCGTCGCTTTTTCAAAGAATAAGGTTCAATAACTTCTCAATGTCATATCAGAAATTCATGAAAAACTAAAGGGAGGTTGTTTTAATAGATATAAAGCAGTCACCAAAGTTTCATGATAACTGCTAAAAGCATTGACCGAAAACTGAAAAATACCCCTTTTTTTATGAATACAATCACATAACTCCGAAACGTTAAATCTAAAATTTATAAAAATTGAAAGGGAGCTTAGGTCAATAGATATAAACAAATCACCAAATTTTCATGAAAACTGCTGAAAGTATTTTTGAGTTATTGTCCGAAAACTGGAAAACACCCCTTTTTTTACTGAATAAAACCCCATAACTCGGAAACGTAAACTGATGATCTAAAATTTATAAAAATCGAAAGGGAGCTCATGGCAATAGATATAAACAATTCACCAAAATTTCTTGCAAATTGGTGAAAGTGTTTTTGAGTTTTTGTCTGAAAACTGGAAAATCCCCCTTTTTTAATGAAAAAAAACCCAAAACTCAGAAACTTAAAATCTTAAATTTATAAAAAACGAAAGGGAGCTCACGTCAATAGATATAAACAATTCACCAAAGTTTCATGCGAATTGGTTCAAGCGTTTTTGAGTTTTTGTCCGACATGTTGACGACGGACGGACGGACAGACAGACAACGGTATACCATAATACGTCCCGTAAACGTGCGTATAATAAGTCGAGACGTAATACTATACTTGAAACACGTGCGTCGCCAAAACAGTTGTTAAGTACTGGTACCAACTCCAAGTTAAATATTTCTATCAAAGTTAAATGATAAAGTTTACAGTCATAATTTTTTCTTTCTTTTGAACAGTTTTCTTTTCCGGACCATCGTTAAAAAGAAAACGAGGAGACGAAAAACTATGCTTCAAACACGTGCGTTGCAAATTTGTAAATAAATCCTTTAGGTGACATGTGACGCCATTTAACCACGTCATTTCGTAAAATAATATAATCAACGCCTTTATTAATTAGTCCATTGTTGCCTACAGCTATAAAATGCTATCAGCTGATAATAGATTTTCTATCAAAATCGTAACGAGTTCAAAGTGAATTCCGAATATGGTCTGATCAGGTAAAGTCCGAGAAACCCGAAGTAGAGGCTCTCAAGAGCCTGTGTCGCTCACCTGTATCTACTGTGGTTTTGGAACTCATGTAAAATACGGTTAACATCATATAGATACCCTAATAATGATTGATGCCACGTTTGGTTTAATTTGGCCCAGTAGTTAAATTAAAAGCAGAAGATTTTTTAACTTGGCCCAGTAATTTCAGGAGATGATTTTTGTAAAAGATTACAAAAATTTACAAAAAAGTGTGAAAAATTGACTTTAAAGGGCAATAACTAGGTAAGGGTCAATTGACAATTTTGGTAATGTTGACTTATTTGTACAATGTAGATCTTACTTTGCTGAACATTTTTGCTGTTTACAATTTATCTCTATCTATTATAATATTCAAGATAATAACCAAAAACTGCAAAATTTGCTTAAAATTACCAATTCAGGGGCAGCAACCCAACCACGAGTTGTCTGATTCGTCTGAAAATTTCAGGGCAGATAGATCTTGACCTTTATAAACATTTTTACCCCATGTCAGATTTGCTCTAAATACTTTGGTTTCAGAGATATTAGCCAAATACTGCATTTTACCCCATGTTCTATTTTTAGCCATGGCCGCCATCTTGGTTGGTGGGCAGTCACCAGATACATTTTTCGCCATCTTGGTTGGTGGGCAGTAACAGTTACCAGATACATTTTTCGCCATCTTGGTTGGTGGGCAGTCACCAGATACATTTTTCGCCATCTTGGTTGGTGAGCAGTCACCAGATACATTTTTTAAACTAGATACCCTAAGGATGATTTAGGCCAAGTTTGCTTTAACTTGGCCAAGTAATTTCAGAGAAGATATTTGTAAAAGATTACATAAATGTACGAAAAATTGTGAAAATTTGACTTCGAATGGTTATATTTGTTTTGCCAAAAATGAACTTTAATCGCCACAATTTTATTTTTTTTCGCAAGCCAGCGGAAACCCTGCGGCCATCTGGTTGCTGTAAGAAACACTGACGATGATGAAGATGACAATGTATAAGCTTTTAATTGTGATAGTTCCTTATATATTATTGGTATCGTTGAATGGAAAGTTAGCTCTAGTCCATAATAATATTCTATAGTGTATTCTGAATTGCCAACAATGTATATGTAATATGTTTAGAAATTGTGAGCAAATATTTTTTTTTTCTAGTGGCGAAAGATGTTGGTTTAGAGAAGGAAAAAAAACAAGATAGCACTCGTATAAATGTCTAGCCTGCTTTAATTTACTGACCATGACTGAATTTATATAGAAAGTCTTATAGAAAAAGGCTTTACAACAAGTATCACATACATCAACATTATCAATGATCTATGTAAATGAGGTCAAGGTCAGATGAACTCTGTCACAAAGACAATTACACCTTGCTATCATTTACTATAACAGACCAAACTTGTCCAGTTGTCAATTTTATTACAAAATTTCCTCTTTAGTCCACTTTTTTTTATCTTGACAATTTCTTTATAAAAGAGAGGCGAAAGATACCAAATGGATATTCAAACTCATAAGTCAAAGATAAACTGACAATGTCATGGCAAAATAAGAAAAAGACAAAACACCCACCTAATTTCTAAGGTGTCGGTTCAGATTTGGCCATATTGGAGCTTCACAATATCCAATATACAGAATAGATTCTGTATTTTATAAAGCAAACCACATTATGACCTTGCCTAACTAGTAGAAAATAGTTTGACGAAAATCTGTATAAATAATTTCCTGTATAACGTTATTAGAATTATGCATATATGTACAGATATATACGTAATTAGAATTCTGTATAGTCTTTATTTTCGTATGCAAAGAATGTTATGTCATAATTCCGTATATACAAGTCTATCCAAACGGAAATAGTTCTCTATATTCGTTTTTTGAATTCTGTAAATATTCAAACGATTTCTGTATATACTAAAAAGGCACGAAATTGAATAATAGACCTCTATACACAAATTTAAACTAGGTATATAAAAAGTATTCGAACATGTATATAGATCTATATAATATATATGGAATTATTTCTGTACATAATATGTAATGACATATACGTTATAATACAGACAGACATATTTTCTTTCACCCTGATACCGCGCATTGATTATTTCTAAGTGACGGACTAATGGGTTGTCGGATTATTGGGCTGTCAGATCAATGGGTTTTCGGACTAATGGGTTGTCGGACCAATTGGCTGTCAGAACAATGGGCCATCGGACCACTGAGCTGTCGGACTAATGGGCTGTCGGAATAATGGGCCGTCGGACCACTGAGCTGTCGGACTAATGGGCCGTCGGACCACTGAGCTTGGACTAATTGGCTGTCGGAATAATGGAGTGTAACCAGACAAACAACAGTAAACAAAACGCAACATAGAAAACTAAAACTACAAGAACCCCACCAAAACTTTGGGGGATCTCAGGTGCTCCGGAAGGGTAAGCAGATCCTACCCCACTAGTGGCACCTGTCGTGATGCTCATGTAAGAACAAACCCTGTGACAAGTATAATAAGGTAGAGTTACTCTACATGATTGTCTGATGTTTATCGGTAGCATTACATTGCTATTAACATGATATATTGATTAGATATAAAGATGATCGCCTTCTATCCACAAGGGATTGGTCTTCTGCTAACTTTCTAAGGTAATATGTGTATTTCTCATCGCAAAAATAACTGTTTGCCATACAAATGATGAAAACACCTTTATTCCTCTATTGCATTGGAACATTGAAGTGTTGTTCTACTTCGAACTCAAAAGTCATTTCTGAAAATAAATAAAATAATTCACAAATCCAAAGATAAAATACGCTACTGTTTGACATTTTACTTTAAAAAATCAAAGTTTTACAGAAATACCCCTTTTTACCGGACCAGTAGAAAAAGAAGCTGTGGTGACTATCACTCAATGGAACCCTTCACCCGAAATATATTCATTTTTTAAAGACATAAAATTGAGAATGGAAATGGGGAATATGTCAAAGAGACAACAACCCGACCAAAGAGCAGACATCAGCCGAAGGCCACCAATTAAGTGTTTTAGTAGATAATCAATATTACTAAATGAATAGAGTTGAAATTGGGTGTCGCGTTTTCTTCTTTCACATAAAATCTAAGAATATTGTTTTATACCACAAAGGGGTAATGACCAGCGTAGTTTATTATGTGTTCATTTCAAGATCATTTGGGGGGTATTTGGGGGTTGAAATTGGAAAAAAGTCAGTTCGGATCGACCGTCCTTCACGACGTTCGGCTCTGAAATTTACGTGCCATCATCATTTCCGTCATTGCACGTCTGCCCGGCAAAATTAAATTTTATTTCGTAGCAGATACAGTAAATATTGACCTTACACTGAAAAACTTTGTGATACACATTCCTTTGACGCTCTCAGTAGTATAACAACAGATTTTTACACGTCAAGAGCTTTTCCTTCCATGGAACCGCATCAATTCAACATGAAAAGGGTGGGGGATTACATCAGTTTTTGGTTAAAAATGGGTACCGAAGTGCGGCTGGAATGTGACCTACCCTTATTCATATATTAGTGCATAAAATTTTCAGCCCACTCATATAGAAATTTTTAATGGTGACCATCTGTATTTAATCCAAACTGAAAATTGTAGTATTTATTTACTATTTCTTAAAACATTATAAGTTTGACAGCAATATACCAAATACCAATATAAAATAATGGGGAAAAATGGAGAGTGGTCAACATTTTTCTAAAACTTTCAGGAGGGGGTTCACGCATTTTCTGCAGAAATGGAAAGGGGGGGGGGGGGGGTCATTGAATTTTTTCTTTCAAAATAATTTGACGTCCCCCCTGCAGATAAATAATGACCGGTCCTTTATAAAAGACTTTCAACCCCAGACCATATGATGTTTACCAGCACAAATATTGATATCCATTTGTGAAAAATACAATCAACATCTTGCATGTATGATATATTTTAACTCAATTTCAACAATTTTAAGCACCCAAGCACATGATTCTTCACAACTGGCAGGCCGTGCATGCAGGGGCGACTTCGATAAAAAAAGGTACAGGTGTGCCACTGGAATTTGAAAAACACCCCCCATTTATATACATTGCCCAAGACCATAAATCTGACCTATTCATATATGTATGCATAACAATTGTGACCTAATTATATATAGTTCACAGTCATATATATTTTGACTATTACTTTGACCTATAATTGTTAACTTTTTATACATTGTCATGCGCACCGGGATTTTTTATCATTCAATGTTTTCCCTATGTGTTCAGTACACAAAATTTATTTCCAAAATTTTTTGGGGGATTGGCAAAACTGCTAAAGTGCTAGACAGATTATTTTTTTTTACCAAATCAGGGTCAGAATATTTTTTGTAAAAAATCCCAGTCAGTTTTCACTCTATATGTCACTAATTAAAGGTATTTATAAACACATGTTATTTTGATCAGTGCAATGCATCCAGGGTATAACAATGACATATCTTATGATTAGATCACAAACGCCAATAGGTAGTTTCTGTCGGGAAGACTATTCTTTTGGATGTCATATTGAGTGTCATATCGTCTGTGACACGCTTCAAAAAGATTTAAGATCTTAATATCGCCTTATACCAAAACTATATATGAACCAAAGTATATTTCGCGGGAATTTTCTAGTACTTATAAAGTCTGCACTCTGATACTTTAGTCTGGATTAAACCCTTATAAATTTTGAGCACAACTTCAAACTGTTAAAACATATTTACCCGGTAAATCATTTTTCACTGATTTCACATCCTCATCTGAAATAGTTTTAGCAAGAATATCTTTTAGCACGTCTGTATACAGTTTTGTTGGTTTGCTATAGTGGTCAAACCGTTTTAAAAGGTCACATATTATAATACGCAACTCATTAAAACGTGTTTCTTCAAGTTTAAATGTCCTAGAGTGTTGTAGTTCATTCCTTGTAAGTCTTATGCGCTCAATATCATCTCCAGGAACTATGCCTGTAACCTGATCAACTTGACATATCCCTCCCCATCCATTAGTTGGAATATGTTTATTAAGTTTCCTGTGCTCACTATATAAGTATGTTATATCAGAATCGTTCCTTGGACGTAGATTTGGTTTATCTGGTTTTAAAAGGTCATATAAAACATCAGCAAGAATATTCAGCGCAATCATTCCCATCTTTGCAAAATTGATTTCCTCTTTTGTGAACTGAAAAGAAGATAAAAGTAAGGAATTGTAATGTAAAATAGGAAGAAGATAATATATAATAAGGCTTAACATAAGTTTTGGTTGAATCAATTATCAGTTAATTTGGTCAAGTACTCGTAGAAATTTTTCCAAGAAAAAAAAACAAATTAAAAGTAAAATCAATGATGATGGTACCTTGCATCTAAAAGTAATTATGTATAACTCTTGCTCGACTGGATTTTTTTCGCACAACCAAAATGCAGCAATGCTGTTTAAAACTTTATGAGGAACATCTTGTTTAGAAAGATTTCAGCAATATTTTTCCTTTAACCATAAGCAGATGAAAAAACGTGTGTTGTGTGAAATTTTTTTTTTTTTTATCAATGTAAATGAAACAAAGTTAACTAAATATATTTGTATTTAAATAAATATCTACCATACTGTTTCAACTGGATCACAAATGTATTATAATTATTTACCAAACATTGGAAGAATCTGGTCTTTAACATGATAAATTCATGATAAAAAGTTTGTTTCAAATAACTAATGCATGGCAGTATGATGACTATGAAAGGAGTAAGGTCGTTACAGACCTCATTTGACCATGAACATTGGGTCCATTGTTTTATGATCAACATATTTCATGTTCATGATGTTGATTAAAAAACATGTACGAAAGAGATATAGAACTATTCTTGTCAACTTTTTCTTGTCAAGCGTTGACATCCTCTAATTTGCCATAGAGATTTCTGTTGAATGTGACCAAATTGTTTTGATTTCTATCAAATTGAGGTACCGGTATATGAAACAAAGATAGCAGGATTCGACAAACTATATATTCGAGTCAAATATGTTTATTGTAATAACAAATAAACATTATGTTCATAAAACTTTTTTGTCGACCAATGCTCTCACAAAAGTTCCCGTAAAATTTTGACATCATAATACAAACTATCTGACGCCACAATGAAAAAGTAATTGTTGTATGACGTCAATAGTTCAAGCGGGGAAGATTATCAGGTCAACCAGGACAGATTTCCAAATAGCGAGAAGGTGTATTGAATTTTGTACTATTTGTGACACCAAGAAATAATCTAAATGACCTATTTCATATCGTTATTGTTTTAGCTATGATTCATTGTGATATTGGTTAATACATCCTTATTTGAAATTTGAGCCACAAATAGGAGCCATATAGAACAGTCTCTTTTGAAACATACTGATTGCATTTAAGGATTTTTTTTAATTCTAAAATGTGTAACAAACAATATATAAATAACACATAGCTGAGGAAGTGATAGAGCAGATTTTTACCCAGAGAAAACATTGTCAACAGATGCGAGCTCAGCTATATGTTATTTAATTTATTATACTGAATGTTCTATCATTTTTGTCTTTTAATTGAAAGCACTTAATTTTGACGTCATGTACATAACGTTACAGTTATTAGAAAAACAACAAAAGTGAACCAAGATATTTTTTTTTATTTTGACAGTCTATGAAAAGTTTTGAGGCCATAACGTAGAACTGCATCATATTTAATTTTTAGGTATTGATGTACATAATTATTGTTGTAGCTAATATTTTTTTTAGAAAAACAATTGTAAATAAAAGTCATTCCTATATTTTTAAATTAAAACATCATTATAATTTGATTGCTTGCTTGCTTGGTTGATAAAATGTTCATGATCATTCATTGATTGTTTGTGTGACGTCAAGTGACGAATATTTAACGAACATGCTTTACTTAGAGAAACAGGTTAAATCTCCCCCCTTCTAAAAAAAGAGAAACAAAACAGATACTACTTCCACGATTAAATACAGTGGGACGACTCTCCTGGGACATGTGAAAAAGAAAATACGATGGAATTTTAAGATTCAAATAGACACGTAAAACAACAAAAACAAAAACTTTAAGTCCAAGGTCAAAATTTGATTACAAGAAAACCAAATTCATACACAACAAATTAATAAAACATAAATGTCTAGGACCACTACATATATAGCTAGAGAAAGGGAAATTCATAAAGGATGATTCAAGGATATTCTTGAGGAAGGTGTCAATACTTCAAAGTTCCAATTGGAATTTATTAAATTCAAGGATAATTTAAAGTAGAAGGGTGATAAATCCTTAAATGTTCCAAGAAGTACCATGATTTAGGTACAAATAAACTGTTGCAGTGACATGAAAACCTTCCATTTAATGGGAGCCAGCCTTTACCTTTTTTGTATGTTCCTTGGAACCAAACCCCATGTATTTTTTTTCTAAAATTATGAATTGGTTCTTTATTTGGAGGATTTTTTTTATCATTCTGTGGGTAATGTATAAAAGTAAAGTATTTGTTACTGGACATCATAGAAACAATCAATCAATCAATCAATATACAATATGCGCTTCTGTACGTTATGAAAATGTCAATCGATTAATTACTAATATTCATTCATATAAGCAAACGAACCAAGCCAAATTGATGAATGAATGCAATTTCTGTCAAATATGACATGAAGCAAAATGTCAATCAATCAATTAAGCTATCTATCAACAATCCACACCAACCAATCTAAATGAAGAAGTAACTGATGTTATGCAAATATTTTTTTCAACCAACCAATCAACCAACTTAGTATAGAAAAGGTGGAAAGACTTCACTCGAACGTTTTACTTAAATCTACTGGAGGTTATGTTCAAAAGCTATTGTTATGCGGAGTAAATCAATAAATAAATTAACACTTTTGAGATGATCCCTTATTTAAATATCTCTGGTGTCGACTCTTGACTCTCAGTTGTCCATTGTAAAAGATTTTCTAATATTTCTATTACTATTCGAAGCTGTTTGTGTATGTTTATCGACTCGATGAAAATTACATCTAATGCTGAACACATAACTCTCACTCCACATATCAATACTAGTTCAGTTAAGCTGTCTGTGTATGATTATCAACCCGACGAAAGATTTAGTCCAATTCCGCACACACACACTACTCACTTCACATAAATACTAGCCGTTTGTGTATGTTTATCCATCCAACTGATGAAAGTTTACATACTACTCATTAAACATATTACGTATATCATGTATATTAAAACATAATTTTGTTCAGTAAAGCTGTTCGTTTTTGTTTCCTTTATGTTCATTAAAAAAAAGTATAACAAAAATACCAAACTCCAGGGTAAATTAAACAAGAGGCTCTCAAGAGTCTGAATCGCTCACCTAATATTTTTTTTGATTAAATCTTTCATCAATGATTATTTTTGCTTTTTACCCATATGTTCCATTTTAGCCATAGTGTCTATGTTTCTTGACGTACAAGGAAATGAAATACAAAATTTATACTAGATTCATTTGAGAAGATTTTTAAAGTTAAAAAACATAAAACAACTTGTGTAAAATTGTCCTTAAAGGGCAATAACTCCTTAAGGGGTTCAATTGACAATTTTGGTCATATTAACTTTTTTGTAGATCTTACTTTGTTTAACATTTTTACTGTTTACAGTTTATCTTTATCTTCAATAATATTCAAGATAACAAAAAACTGCAAAATTTCCTAAAAACTACCAATTTAGTGGCAGCAACCCAACAATGAATTGTTCGATTAGTCTGAAAATTTTAGGGCTGATATATCTTGACCAATTGAACAATTTTACCCCATGTCAGATTTGCTCTAAAAGCTTTAGTTTTTGAGATTTAAGCAAAAAACTGCAATTGACCCCTATGTTCTATTTTTAGCAATGGCAGCCATGTTTGTCGATGGATCAAAACTTCGGATACAATTTATAAACTGGATACCCTAAGGAACATTAAGTTAAAGTTTGAAGGTATTTGGCCCAGTAGTTTCAGAGGAGAAGATTTTTGAAATATTTTACGACAGATGACGACGACAGACGACGGACGCCAAGTGATGGCATAAGCTCACATGGGGCCCGAAGCCGGTGAGCTAAAAAGGGGGAATTCCATATAACTTGACGATTCAAACGTTACACTCTCTCAACCAACTGAATGAGCGTAAGACTGAACATCTCCCAATTCATTCATTTTCATTTTTGGGAACTGAATATGGCATGAAAATACATAGTAGTGTTGCATACCCCTGCCGAACTGGCTGTTCCTGTTGCCCCTTCATTGGCATTTGAAAATACTCTCTCACCAGCTTGGAACCAGACACGTACCTTCAAATATAAAAGCATGTCATTCATTATCAATAGAAAATATTGGTAACCATCATGAAAATGTGTCAATGAGGGTGGCACCTATCATTTTCTTTCATTCCATTTTGATAAATATAGGTTGAATAATCAACCAATTCAAGTAGCAATTATGTCTAAATTCTTTGGCTGTATACAAGTATAAGTAAAATGGGAAAATTGAAAAAAAAGCTACATTTTTCTTCAGAGATGTGCTACCTTGATAATGAAAAGTCCTCTGCTTAAGTTTCTAACAACCCGTCATTGAAATTTTAAACCCCAGACTCCTTATAGATTTTGAATGAAAAGGTAAGTCAATTTATAAGTAAAGATAATGATTGGAGTTTGGTTCATTTTGGCCACACATTTTTTCTTTAAAAAAGGAAAATCATTTTTACATTCAGAGCGAAGGAAAAAGAGGCAAAACCATAGCAATAGCTTACATTGTCAGATTAGTCAAAATGCTCAGTTTGGATAATCTTGAATTTACTGTCCAAATAGTTTGCATTTTAACAGCAAGAAATATTTCATATAATCCATTGTCAATCTAAACATGCTAAATAAAAGTTCCTCGATTTGACGAATGTATAACTTTGTCAGAAAATAGTTCTGAAGTAATACAAGTAATAATTAATCTATCTGACATCCTCATGTACATTACGTTTATACTTACTGCTAGTTATACAAATATCAACATGAGGATAACTTTCCATGCTATAATATAGTAGCTTGTTACCTTGGTGGATTGACTGGTAGTTTGGATTTGACTGGATCTTTCTGTGTGAGAATTATATATTGGAACGTTTTCAGAACTCTGTGACATCTACAATAATTTAGAAAATAAAATTACTACTATCATATGATCCCCCTTACCTTATATATAAGTAAAACAGCACTCTTCTCAAATGTATAAATCATTATGGAAACATATAACAACTTGCATGTAATTTCAATGGTTGCATAGATAGAGCATCTTGTATTTCTACAAGCAGATTATAGTTTTTACAGATAATTCTAAAATATTCAGCTCATCTCATTACAATTTTTTGTTTGGTCTTTAGACCATCTGTACTAAGAAAAGGAGGTAAAGGACATCACTGCTGCCTGATTCTGAATTAAAATATATGTCTTGCTTTTATTTTCTAGAGGAAACAAGTTGAGCTTTTCCTACCTGTTTTAATATCAATAGTATTTGGTAAATACGGAGTTGCTGAGTATCATATTTGAAAAGGTATCACACGGTATAGCAAATTTCATGAAACTCTAATCGACACTTTTTTGAAAAAAAAATGTTTCATATACATAATATATGGATGTAATGCATTTGTAATGTGTAAGAATATATGTTTATATCAAACTGGATCACTATAAACAATGAATGTGAAAGTGAAAAACAGTTTAAATCAACATATAGCTATTAAGTTGTCAATTCTCTTAACGTTAGTCCGCGGGAAAAGCTAGGAAAACGTTCATTGGATGGATTGATGGAAGGACTGAAAGAGGTTAACCAATGTACCATCTTATTACAAATTTTCCATGTAAAATTCATCAAACATGAATAAATCTTTTACTTACATCAAATGTTCTATGTTGTAGATCTGACCATTCACCAGTGAACTCATGTGCAATTTTACATGTCACACAATAATATTTTGTATTCTGATCTTCACGAAAGTCATTTGATCCTGTAACAGACTCTGGTTTTGTTAGGCCACATTCCCATTTTTTCCAAAAGTTCACATTCGACATCTTAAATCTTGTGCTTATTATTTTGACAATTTCCTCCGTCACAAAGTCGTCAATGTATTTGTACATACCTCCTTGACGTCCTTTCTCAAATTGCCAAACCTGAATTTGAATCCAATTCGGACATTTCATTATATGCAATTTTGCTAATTTTGTCGTTTTCTGTAACTCAAAGACAGCTGAACCTCTGAAGAGAGCAATTTGTCTTTTCTGTTCCTTCGTTACAACTTCTGCAACTTTATATTTCCTGCACAGTGACGCAATTAAATGATTCATTAAATGAGGTGGAAGAAACCTAAACATATAACATAACCAGGTGGACTTATTACAAGTGTTTTCTGTAACATTAAACATTTCGTATATATCACACTCGGGTTCTGATTTAATCATACAAGGTACATAATAGAGAGGTTTGTCATCACCAGCGTCTCTTAGAGTTTCTGATATGTTAGGACGTATAATGATATCAAATTTCTCCATTACGTTAAGGATGTGATCCTTGTGTTTGGCAAAAATGTTTTCACTTTTTCTAAATATGTCGTCTAAAACCTCACTATGTAATTTGCCTCTGCTATACAATTCATCCCATTTTGTTCTATTTCTAGTACTAAAAGCTCTAAATTTCTTAGCTGTGACTATACATTTAAAAGCATCAGACAACCACTGTGTGTCTAAAATAATATAAGAAGACAGATCTTTGAAATAAACTAAAGCTCTGATCTCATGGTGAAATTCCAGGAACAATCTGAGTTCCTCATCATTTAGTGGATTAGGTGTATTAGTAGAGATGTGCTTAATTTCATGAAAGGAAATAATTGGTAACTCCTTCTTTTTCTCTTGAAGTCGTTTTTCCAGCTGAATAAATTTTAAGGGGTAAACTTTGTTCCATGTTTTTATTTTTCTGGCTAAGTTGAGGATGTCTTCTCGGATTTGCTGGAATACACTGGGGTCATCTTCTGTATTGGAAATGAAGTATTCTTGCCTTATATGTTTTAGTTCATCTTCTGACATATTCTTCGTAAACTTAAAAATGTTTTCTCGGCATGCATCGTCAATCTACAAAAAAAATATGCTTGTTTGTTTGTTTGGTCTTTACAAATATATGAATGCTTTGAACATATTTGAAAACATGAAGTAAATACTAAAGCTACATGTATATAAACATATATGATAATCATATAACTATATTATATTAAATAAATTATCGTAAAAACACAACTTTTTTAAAATGTGATAAAGGATTTGCTATTCCTGATAACACTTTAAACTGATAAAGTTATTTCATTATCATACCTGTCAATTGACCCGTATCCTGCGGGTCACACCCGAGAATTTCACCCCTTACCCGGGATGGTTTAATTATCCTCTGGGTCTTCAAATAACCTGTGAATTTGGAAAATAACCCGTTTTCACCCGGATTCTTGAGCCTTTAGATTGATTTCATAAGTGATTTTCCTTTGAAATACCAGGCAAATTCGCAATTCTTCCTAGACAAGAAGTTCAAATAGCTGTGTTAACTGTCAAATTAAGTGAAAAGTTAAATCACAAAAATACTGAACTCTGAGGAAAATTCAAAATGGAAAGTCCCTAATCAAATGGCAAAATCAAAAGCACAAACACATCAAACGAATGGACAACAACTGTCATATTCCTGATTTGGTACAGGCATTTTCTTATGTAGAAAATGGTGGATTGAACCTGGTTTTAAAGCGCTAAACCTCTCACTTGTATGACAGTCGCATCCAATTTCATTATATTGACAACGATGCGTGAATAAAACAGACATAATAGGTAAAAATGTCAAAATAGGGGTACAGCAGTCAACACCGTGATATCGATACAATCTTAATCACAACAAAAACAAACAAATATTTAACAAAGAAGCACAAAAAATCATATATCACATTTAACAACCTCATTCATTGCTTACTTATTTTTGTATATTATTTATGTATGCTAAACCAACCCATAAAGGATTGAGGGATTTTAAGCACTGGGACCGAATCGTAATTTTAACATTAACTCTGGCGTAGAATCGCGCGTTTCACGTCAGAATGTAAACGTCACACAGGTAGAGATATAAAATAATTTTGTCATTCAAAGTATGCAAAAATTATAATAGAACAATAACACAATGGCGGGATGTTTAAAGTACAGAGACACGTCATATGTATCAAAGAAACATAAAAAGTCACACGGACAAAGCACACAAGTAAAAATGAAAAATAATACAAACAACACAATGACGGGATGCATAAGTACAGAGCCACGTCACATATATATATCACCAAAAACAGACCAAACAGTAAAAGTAATATTAATAAAGACAAAAAAAAAGAACACTTTAACACGTTATTAAGATGATAAACAGCGTCAGTACGCAGAATTTATACTTCAAGACCATCATGTATTATTTGTGAAGTTGATTTGGAATATTTATCAACAATGACCCATTAAGTGCATGGCTTCACTTGACAGCTTTGGTGTCAAACACACTGTTAATTAACACCAATTACCGTAGCTTAAGGTCATAAATAATTTTGTCTATTTTAAAATTGACAACAAATTTGAGTTACTTTCCCTTTTTTGTCACCTTTCACAATATACTCCTTAATTTTATGATTTATATTTGTAAAAAGATTAAATCTTAGAACGAATTGAATGCAAATACATATCAGAATATTATATTCTTTTATTTTTCTACCTTAGAACTATGAAAACAATATTTTGAAAATTAATTTTTTTATCTTCAGTTCCTTTGAATGCTTAATTATTTTATTACATTATAATAATCACTCTCTTTTATATTTGTTACACAGCATGATACATACTGAGAAATAAAAATCACGTCCAACGGTGAATAATGATAAATGATATCAAGCACTATAGCTTGAGATTGAGTTAATACTCTAAATCAAACTAGGAGATGGGGTATAGTTAGGTTTGACATAATACAGTATATTGAACACATTAATATGTCAATGGCTTATGCAATGAACAAATGAAATTAAAGCCTATTTTCTATTAGAAATTCATCATGCGAACATATTTTGGAAACTGTTGGATTTAAAATATAACGACATGTCCCCTAAATACTTAAATTCAGCTGTAAAAAGTTCGTCCGCTTTATGACCTAAGATTTGATTCTTCAATGCAGGTCATGACCTGCATTTTCATTTGCATAGGTTGACAGGTATGCATTAGATATTGTCAAAATGTTGATCTGATTAGATTACACTATCAGTAAAACATGATGGTCCTGTACAAAAATGAAAGAACAGTAGAAGTGTGCTTGCAACCCATAAACATTTGTAGATTTTCAATACCTCTTCTACATCAGAGGTCACAGCATCTTTCCAAGTACCAACAATAACTACTGGTGGATCAAGATCATCTGATGTCTTGCTGTCAGCAGAATTACTTTTGTCCTCTTCCAGTCTACTGTAGCAATGGATTGAGTCCATCCATAACTGGAATAAATCTACAAAGAAATAGAATACCGATTTCAATCACCATTTATTTAAGTCTCATAAAGATGTGCAAGTTATTTGTAGTTGAACGGAAAAATGAAAAACACATTACGAGCTGTCTTTACTTTCACCAGCATTGCAATGTTTTTAGATTTTAAATATACAGAAAGCTCTGTTAATTTCTTTCTGTGCCCATCCCATATAAAGGGCCTGTGATTTTAGTATTTTTTATTGATTTGGGTCCTTCATATTTGTTTTTAGTAAATTGTATTATTACTAATTTTAAAAGCAGTTAGTTTTCTTGTTTGAATTGTTCCACATTTTTTTTATATCAGGGCCTTTTATAGCTTACTATATGGTATGAGTTTTTCTTATTCTTGACGACCATATGGTGACCTATAATTGTTTATATAGCTTCTTCCTTTGAACTCTTTTGAATAGCTGGTTCATTCGCAAAAATTACCACATCTCTTAATTTAAATAAGACATCAAACTTAAACCAATACATGTCATTCAATTCTTCTTGAAATGACGAACAGGAATATATATGGTTAAGGGTGGGGATCTCGACCGTTTAAAATTTCTCAAAAGGGGGAGGTGACTCCCAGGGGACTCGCCCTTTATTTCATTTGATTTGTTTTATTGTCCCATACAAGAATATATATGGTTTAGGAGTGGGGATCTCGACCGTTTACAAGTTCTCAAAAAGGAAGGGGGGGGGGGGGGGGGGGGGGTTATCCCCATTGACTTCCCCTATATTTAATTTGATTTGTTTTATCATCCCATACAAGAATATTTATGGTTTAGGGGTGGGGATCTCGACTGTTTACAAGTTCTCAAACAGGAGGGGGTGGGATGACCCCCAGGGACTCGCCCTATATTCCATTTAATTTGTTTTATTGTCCCATACATGAATATATATGGTTTAGAATTGAGAACCTAGACCGTTTACACGTTGTATATATAAGGGGGTGGGTTGACCCCCGTGGACTTCCCCTATATTTCATTTGATTTGTTCAATTGTCCCATACAAAAATATTTATAGTTTAGGGGTGGGAACCTCGACCGTTTACACGTTGTATATATAAGGGGGTGGGGTGACCCCCGTGGACTTCCCCTATATTTCATTTGATTTGTTTAATTGTCCCATACAAGAATATTTATGGTTTAGGGGTGGGAACCTCGACCGTTTACACGTTGTATAAATAAGTGGGTGGGTTGACCCCCCTTGGACTTCCCTCATATTTCATTTGATTTGTTTTATTGTTCCATACAAGAATATTTATGGTTTAGGGGTGGGGATAGCGACCGTTTACAAGTTCTCAAACAGAAGGGGGTGGGGTGACCCCAGGGACTCCCCCAATATTGCATTTGATTTTTTTTATTGTCTCATACAAGAATATATATGGTTTAAGGGTGGGGATCTCGACTGTTTAAAAGATAAAAGCACATTCTCAAATTGAAGTGGGTGGGGGTGACCCATAGGGACTCATCCTATATTTTATTTGATTTGTTTTATTGTCCTGTGATCATTTCTGAAGACTGTGTGTGTCTATCACTTACTGTTTTCGAGTTATAGTCATTTGAAAATTTAATAAAATGCTCTGCTGGGCGCAGCTTGATACGACCGCAGAGGTCGAACCCTGAACAGTTGGGGCAAGTATGGACATAACATTCAAGCTTGATACAGCACTGAATTTGGATTGTGATTAAATATTTGACACAGCATAGGTTTCTGACAAAGAATGAATATGGTCTAAGAACTTAATTTTTTTTAATTTACATATTCAAACCATATCATTATTATTTGCCTTTACATATAAATCAGAAATAACCAATTTAAAATGGAAAATTTTAATGAAAAAAAAAGGAAAAAAAAATCCCCCCCCCCCCAATGTTTTGAACCCCCTTATGATTCATCACCCCCAAACTCAATCCCAACCTTCCCTTTGTGGTATGGTACCTTGCAGTACAATTTCAGATAGATCCATACACTTGAACACAAGTTGTTGTCTGGAAACTAGAAAAATGCTTATTTTTGGCCCCTCATTCCTAAACGTTTTAGGCAATTACCCCCAAACTCAATTCCAGCTTTCCCTTTGTGATATGGAACCTTGTAGTACAATTTCAGAAAGATCCATACACTTACACACAAGTTATTGTCATGAAACTAGAAAAATGCTTGTTTTTTGCCCCTTTTTGGTCCCTAATTCCTAAAATTTGGAGGCAATTACCCCCAAAACCAATCCCAGAATTCCCTTTCTGATATGGAACCTTGTTGTACAATGTCAGAGAGATCCATACACTAACACACAAGTTAAGTCTGGAAGTTAAAAAAATGCTTATTTTTGGCCCCTTTTTGGCCCCTAATTCCTAAACTGTTGGTACCATAACCCCAAAAATCAATCCCCACCTTCCTTTTGTGGTATTGAACCTTATGGTAAAATTTCATAGAGATCCATTTACTTAAACTAAAGTTAGAGTGCGAAAACCAATGTGTCTTCGGACGACGACGACGCCAACGTCATACCAATATACAACCACAAAATTTTTTGTGATTTTGTGAGGCCGATTGTATGTTATAGGCCGAGTTGTTATGGGACGAGATATGAGGATACTTTCAATACACTCGGGCTTTTACATCTTTAATAAACATTTGTAAATATCGTAAAAATGGCGCCAGAAAATGTTCATTCATGAGAATTTTTTAAACACAGTATTTATCATCTCTTCAATGGGAGGACGGGGGAGACCCGTGACACCGGGATTATTGTACTCCCGTCAGGAGGTTCACATATATGGATTAAACCCATGTCTAGGGATTCCCGTAGGAAAACATACAGATAACATAAACAGTGACAGTTCAAAGTATGCATAATTTATAGAGGTCACACCTAATACCATTTGCAAACGTAAAAATTGAAAAGATTACGACATTCTTAATAATAAGAATTCTTTAATTTCATGAATAAATGTAAAAAAAAAAAAATCAACACACACCTCGAAATAAATATCAATTAATATCAATTAATTAAACGTAGAAACTGCTGCCTCGTGTTGATGTGTATTGCTTTTATCTTCCGTGCAGGGCAGAACCGCGAAGTAGTTTTTGAGATACTCATTTTCAAAATAAAGTTGGATCCATTTGAATTGTCGGTGAACCTTCAGTCCAATTTTTAATTAATTTTATTTAAGCTGTAAGCTTATCAAAATAGAAGTAACTCAAAAAAATTTCAAAAGCGTCTTTATTTAATTTGTATTCAAACACTAGTACTACATTATCTTGGGATAGAACACACATCCTATAGTAAGATAGTCTGTCCAACTTCCAGTTTGAGGCCGATGCCATAGGAAAGTTTATTGCTACAGCAAGCTATAGCAAACTTTCCAAAAAATCGCACCTGCTCTATCTCAAAAAGATTTTTACAGTGTAGTGTACTACTATTGGGACAAATAATATCAAAATTATAGAAAAGTCTACCAGCTCTAACTCAAAATATTGACAATTCTATGTTAAGGGGGTCTAAAATTCAGTTCAACAGCTTCAGACATACTAGTTTTTGACCTTTTTGAACTGGACCAAATCACTACTTAACATAAAGATTCAGCACCCAAATTTTTTTAATAATTTTATGTAATTTCATACCTTAACTTAATATTTCATGCATAAAATATGAAGAAATAAATTTGAAAAGTGTATGAACAAAATTTGCAAGTTATACACTGTCCACACTAGGGACTATATTTGTTGACAACGAAAATCTAAGGACGATAACTGTGTCCTCGGACCAATTGACTGATTGCCTCCCATATTTTCTTCTTTACTTGGAGCATAAATTGGAATCTATAGTTCTTGACAACAATTTGCATTTTAAGCTAAGAAAAAGTTAAATAAAATATAAAATATTTTAAATCTCACTTATCTTATCTCTATGAAATGTTACCTTGTGCATTTTTGTTGTCAGCTTCATTGAGTTTTGTTACAACAAGATAAATTGCACCTGAGGACAAAAAGGTTTGATGTGTGTGGTAAAATTCTTCATCTCCTGCAAAATCCCATAGCAATAATGTGGCATACTCCTCTTTGTCATGTAAATCAACATTAGATTTAAGCATGGTTTCAATATCCATTTTTGCCTGTTTTAATGATTGGTTTCGTTGCTGCGAGGTTACTGGAGGTTCAACTTGAGATTCAGTGGTTACTTGAAGTTTTCTTTTTTTAGGCTGCTGGCTTACTGTCTCTGATTCTTTCAATTCCTCAATACGCTTGTACAGAATGGTTATGAGGGTGTTTTCCCTAACAACTTCATGTGTTACTTCTTGTACTGATGCTTCAATTGTTCCTTTGTATTGTTTCAAGAGTCTTGCATGAATTTCAGTTTCTTTATTGGTTCCTATCATTAGAAAATTATAATACATGTAATAGTAAAGAAATACTAAGTAAGATCTATCATAAAATAAGTAATAAACAGTTACAAAATAAATGTTGTCCATCAATTTTTTTTCCAACCCTAAGCTAGTTCTACAAAAATACTCATTAACAGTTATCACAATTGAAAAGGGAGTTTCTTCAGTTGGTTGTAATATTGATATAACAGATTTGACGAAAACCACAAAACTTGATGCATATTCTACACATACCTTATTATTAATATGTTGCTAATAAAGTTAAGATATTCATCAAAATAAATCCAAAAAAGCATGCATTAAGAATCATCATGAGATGATGTGGTTTACAAATAATTTTGAAGGCAAACAGTGAGTTGTAATTGTTTACACCCTCATCCTTTGGTCATTGTTGGAAAGCTGTCTTATGAGCAATCATGACACATTTTATATCCATGTCTTCACATGTTAAAACAGCATTAGCTACCAAATCCACATAAACTGTATTGATTTGGAACTTTCAGAATTGATTTATACGCGTATATACCATATTTAAAAGTATACCAGTAGTACAAAAAGTCCACAGAAAACAATAGAAAAGGCAAACAATTTTCATGAAGTATCAACATTTTTACGACTGGAAAACCCATAATTATCCGTCAACATTAGCTCTAAAGAAGGCATGTGACAAAAAGGCAATTTAAATAGATAAATATAAAAATCACATGAAATAGTATTATAATGATATTCCTCTTTTCTGTGTGATATCATATCATCGATAAAAATATGATCAACATCATCTTTTTAATTAAAATTTAAATCAGGCAGGTGTTACCAGTTAAAGGAGATGAAGTAACTGAACATGATAAGCACATGCACAATCAAAATCTTGACAGAGGTCAAACCATGTGTCGCATGCATATGGATGCAAATGTGGTTGTAACAATAATGTAACAATGAACTTTTGGGGTCATATTTTGACAAAATCAAACCAAGCTTTAGTTATTTTGTTCATCTTTTCTGATACTGTTTAAAAGCCTATAACATTAATGGTACCATTTCTATTGTACCAGATACACACTTGTACCATAAATATCTCTTCACATAGTTTCTGACTGGATGAACTATTTATGAAAATTCTTGACCTGGAATAATTGAAATGTATCCTTGAATTGGATCCTGTAAGACCTATGCTTTGAAAACTGGAAATTGATAGATAGTCCCCTAAAAAATCAAATAATATTGTTGAATAATAAGTTATGTAAACTAGAAAACAAAAACATTATAAATACTTTCTTAAGAATAGAGAAACATTTGTGTTTAAATTTATACATCATACCATCTAATTTATTCCATATGCCATCATCAGCCTTTGCTTTGCATTTTATTGTGTGGATTTCTATTCCATTTGTACTAGTTACATCTGTATTCTCTTCAGAGAACAATCTTTTAATCAATGATGTCTTTCCTGCACCTTTTTTTCCAACTACTACTAAACGTATGTCTCTCTTTTTTTCAGAGCCTGACTCAAGTAATTTGAGGTACAAATCAATAGATCTTTTGTCAGCCATTAATTTTATTTCAGTTGGAACCATATCACCTGCAATAATATTTGTTCATAAAGAGTTTTTCTAAGTAGAAGATCATAACTTTACTCTCTTTAATTAAGTATACAAATATAACTATTTTGTGTGCCTGTTTTCACTGTATGTTAATATTTAATATTCAATTGCATTACATGTATGTTATTATAGTTTTGATTGACAGACAACAGTCATGGAGACATTCCAGAATTATATTTCATTTATTTACCAATAAAATTCATTTTTTCATGACTGCATGTGCTTCCTTTGAGAACATCAGAACAATGCATAGGAAAACTAATGAAAAGCTTGATATGAACTGCTATATCATGATTGTAGCATAAACATCTCATTATCAAATTGAATCCTTCTTTTGTCATTTTACAGTGTTGTAAAAGCATTGATCCTTTGTACATTTGTAGTACGAAATGTGCTTCGGTTGTCGCTTTAATACCCACATAGAAATACAGAAAGAAGCTATGAAAATATACTTGAAGAATCAACTCGCTATGATGCCAGGGTCTGTGCACAATTGTCTCGAATTAAAGAACCCTTGTGTCAGTTGTGAGCACGCTCACATACCCCACACCCCAAAATTGTCACTGGGCAAACAAAATCTCACCAGATTCCTAAAACTCATAACTCCTACAAAAATCAACTGATAAAAATTTCCTGTGCATATGCACATATACATAGTATGTCATGGATTTTTCTAGCATTCCACAGGGTCCGGTATTCGGACCCATTCCCAACGGCAAAACCCCTACATTTATCCCAATTTTGGGGGAAAAATTCCCAATTGATTACAAAACTCATTTTCATCTTTATTATTCAAGACAGAGATGTTTATTATGTTCAACCGCTAGCTTTATGCCGAAAATTGCCAACAAGTGATGTGTAAATCCCAGTTGAAACATAATGACTGACAAAAAACAACATTGACAAACAATGGCTGCCAAAACACAGGAAGTGAAGAAAATTACAAAACCAGATCAAATTCCGGAAACGGATAAGGCTATAATTCCGGGTTTGCAGATAAAATACAATAAATTTATAAACAAAAAAAATGATTTGTATAGTTCTTAATATACAAATCCTTGAAATACATAAATTTAAAAAAAATTCTAGCATGTGACAGCTATGAAATAACAACCCTGAAATTGAAAACTAAAAGATATATAAAAAAAAAAGAAAAAAGAAACAGGATATATTTTATACAGAAAAATATTTTAGTTCACAAATGTTCATGTAAAAATAAAATAAAATGTGACAATACTTGTCTTTTTCACCAAAAAACAGAACAGAAAATTTAATGATTAATAGCCTTCATGTAGTTTCTTACTTTATTTTCACCATGTTCACCAAAAAAGAAAATTTTTATTGAACTAAACACACTAAAACTAGCATTTGGTATATAGGTTGTTTTTCCCAATTTCACTGAAACCCGTGTTAAAAAATTCCCAAAATTGGCCAGGGTCCTTTTTCCCAAAATACCTAGATAAACCCCTGTATGTCCTAACTATCTACAAAGTTTCACGAAATTCTGTTGTGTGGTTTCAGAGGAGTTGCGATGATAAACTCTTACAGTAGTATATTTAGGCCAACATTCTAAGTTCACACAGGCATTACTCCTAGAAAAACAAGAGTGCACACACTGAAATGTCTTGCCTCATTTACTGAAAATTGATTTAATGTTGATACTCCTAAATATACAAGCTTTACTACAAGTATCACATAAACTTACGATAATAAAAGAAAATGAGGTCAAGGTCAGATAAACCAAACAAGAAATACATCATGTACATGTACACCTCACAATCATTCCATACACGAAATATAATTGACCTATTGCTTATAGTTTCTAAGAAATAAACTTAACGAGGAAAACGTAGCATTGACCAGTGAACGATGATAATGAGGTCAAGGTCAGATGAACCATCCAAGACAGACAAGTACACCTTACAGGCAGTAAGGCAATCTATGTATTACATACAGTTGACATATTGCTTATAGTTTCTAAGAAACAAACTTAACCATGAAAACTTAATATTGACCAATGAACCATGAAAATGAGGTCAAAGTCAGATGATACCTGCAAGACAGACATATACCTTACAATCATTCCATACACCAAATATAGTTGACCTATTGCTTGAAATATCCTAGAAAAAAACTTAACAATGAAAACTTAACATTGACCAATGAACCATAACAAGAGGCTCTCAAGAGCCTGAATCGCCCACCTGTAATTTTTTGCTTAAATCTTTCATCAATAATTATTTTTGCTTTTCTATATATATTAATGAGTGGCTTAAAAATGCCATTTAAATGTTCTTTGTATCTGTCATATTTTCTTCAAATGCCAAAAAAAAAGCATTTTATCCCTTTGTTCAATTTTAGCCATAGTGGCTATGTTTCTTGACGAACAAGGAAATAAAATGTAGAAATTTAAACTAGATACTCTAAACCCATTCAGCCCAAGTTTGGCTGAATTGATTCAGCCGTTTCAAAAGAGAAGATTTTTTTAAAGTAAGCAAACTAGAGGAACAAATTATGAAAAATTGTCTTTAAAGGGCAATAACTCCTTGAGGAGTCAATTGACAATTTTGGTCATATGAACTTATTTGTAGATCTTACTTTGCTGTACATTATTGCTGTTTACAGTTTATCTTTATCTTCAATTTAGTTGCAGCAACCCAACAATCGGTTGTTCGATTCGTCTGGAAATTTTAGGGCTGATAGATCTTGACCTATTGAACATTTTTACCCTGTCAGATTTGCTCTCAATGATTTAGTTTTTGAGATATAAGCCAAAAACTGCATTTGACCTCTATGTTCTATTTTAGCCATGGCGACCATGTTTCTTGATGGATCAAAACTTCGGACACAATTTATTAACTAGATACCCTATATACGGAACATTCAGTTTAAGTTTGAAGGTATATGGCCCAGAAGTTTCACAGGAGAAGATTCATGAAATAGTTTACGACGACAGATGTCGACCACGGAAGCCAAGTGATGGCATAAGCTCACATGAGCTAAAAAGGAGGTCATCGTCAAATGATACCTGCCAGACAGATATATACACCTTACAATCATTCAATACACCAAATATGGTTGACCTATTGCTTATAGTTTAATATAAATTGCTTTGCTGAGCGCAGACGTCCAACCCTGAAAAGTTGCAGCCAAAATGGACACCATATTCGCGCTTGATACAGGTCTGAATTTGGATTGTAATTAAATATTTGACACATGATAGGTTTCTGACACATAATAGGTTTCTGACACAGAATAAGTATAGTCAAAGAACTTAAAATTGGTTATATGATTTGAATTTATATTCAATTTTTTTCTTTTGTGCAATACACTATGCTGTTGCGAATTGCCCCCCCCCCCCCCCTTCCCCCCAAAAAAAATTTACCCGTTTTTTTTTTGCTTTTGTGCAATACACTATGCTGTTGAATATCAACCCCCCCCCCCCCCAAAAAAAATATTTGAAGAAATTTTCTTTTTAATTTTTGAAATCTGAAATGAGAAAAATTATAGCCCCCCCACTAATTCTTATTTACCCCCCCCCCCCCCAATTTTTTCAACTCCCCCTTTCCCTTATTCCAAAAATAATCTCAATTCAAATTTTTCATGGAGTTTGCAACCATAACTACTCATTTAAATACATCATAAAATATCAAAATATAAAATGACATACAGTCATGGTTAAAATTAATATTAATTAATAGTAACTTCTAAAAATAAATTTACAGCTAATCATCTCAAGTCAATCATCATTTCTTAATACATAATTTACAAGCAGTGTAAGGAAGGTAATCAAACATATATACAACAGTATTCTTTGAATGGATTGAACAACCTCCCTTACACTGCTTTTAAATTGTCTAAATTGTCCTTTAACTAATAACCATAGTTTTCCCCCCTTTTTTTTGCCCCTAATTGCTAAAAGGTTTGAGCCGTAACCTCCCATAACCATCCCTTTGTTGTATGGAAACTTTTGTATAATTTCAGAGAGATTCATACACTTAAACGCAAGTTATTGTCTGGAAACTGCAAAAATGCTTATTTGGGCCCTTTTTTTGGCCCTTAATTCCTAAACCTTTGGGACCATAACCCCCAAAATCAATCCCAACCTTTCGTTTGTGGTTATAAACCTTGTGTTAAAATTTTATTGATTTCTATTTACTTATACTAAAGTTATTTTCCGGAAACCATCTGTCTTCGGACGACGACAACTTGATACCAATATACGACCAAAAAAATTTTAATTTTTGCGGTCGTATAAAAAACAGATCAAAACCCAAACTCTTAACTTTCACCACTAAACCATGAAAATGAGGTCATAGTCAGATGACACCTGCCAGTTGGACATGTACACTTTACAATCATTCTATACACAACTAGGATTTCCTAGATATGTACTAAAAAATCATGATCTGCTGAACAACACACACTTAAAAGTCTTGATCTCTTGATTGTGTGGTTTCAAAGGAGCTGCGATGACAAACTACTGTTTAGTATATTATGGCAAAAATGTTAAGTTCAAAGCGAAGGGGCATAACTCCTATAAAAAATGGAATCATAATTTTCTGTCTATATGTTTGTCCTTATTATCTACAAAGTTTCATGAAATTATGTTGTGTAATTTCAGAGGAGTTGCAATAACAAACTGTTGCAGTAGTATATTGAGGCCAATAAGTGCAAAGGGGCATAACTCATAGAAAAAAAAAATGAATCATAATTTCCTGTCGATATGCACGTCTACATAGTTTGTCCTTATTATATATAAAGTTTCATAAATGAGGCCAAATAAAATGGAATGTGTAGTTCCAGTTACATCAATAAAAAGTTAGGGTAGGTAGGTAGGGATTTGTTTTTATGTTTTTTTTTTTAAATTGAGTCTATGGGAGCACCATTCTGACTTTGACAGTGATTAATGAAAAATGACAAAAAAATCTTTAGGGTAGGCTATTATTAAGACTAAAAAGAAGGGTAGGTAACTGGA